CAACTGTGTAATCAGGTGCATGACTACATTTTTCAGTTGATACACATGGAAGATTTTTGGTTTTGCAAAGTACACAGATGTGGTAGTGTTGCGAATGAGGAATAATAGCTGTAGGAAGAGTACGTTTAGTTTGAAAGGTTGAAAATAAAATGCGTGGTTTGGGTTGGGCTGTTTCTTCTTCTTCAGATGCTAATATTTTAGTGATAGGAGACTTAGGAAGTTCTTTAGCATGTTTTAATAATTTGTTAGAAATTTTATTAATAGTTTTTTGAACAGGAGATTGGCCAAGTGCTGTTGGGTGTTCAATACGATAATTCTTAGAGGTAAAGCTAGTGTGGTACTTGTCACAAAAGCAAGTGCCAATAGAAGGTTGGAGTGGAACTTGAAAGAAATATTATCATTTAATAGAGTTGCATTCTTCCAGTTTGTATGCTGGTTGAAGAACTTTTAACTGATCTGCTTTATTTTCATTAATTCCTAATCCATGACGGTCTTTATAATTAGCATGATAATAATCTCAATTATAGAAATCTGGTTCTTCGTTAATAAAAGTTGGCATTTTGGAGGTATACTTTTTTTAGGGGTGTGACAAATAAGGGGTGTAATAAATAAGAGAGTATGACAAATAAGAGGTGTGATATATAAGGGTGTGACAGATAAGGTGTAACCTAGTGTAACAATAAAATGATCAATGTGATCAACATATAATCAACGTAAGACAAAAGTTGTATAATTTAATTAAAAATAAGTTACTAAAATTAGATTAAATCTATAAATAAGTGAAACAAGGACTTGGCTTGTGTAAATTAATTTGTAATATTGATTTGTAATCAAGGATCAGCAGGTCTGGACGTCATAGAGGGCTGGGTTCCCCCAAAAAAGAAGAAAAGTTTTAGCAAAAATAAAATATAATTTTTGCAAAGAAGTTTTGGAGTATTTTAATTGTAAAATTATCAGTTTTTGACCGTTTGTAATATATAATATATCAAATTGAAGCTATGAATGAGCTAAATCTTTTTGTCTTAATAAACAGAAACGATTTACTTAGTAAATTTTGAGTTTTCTTGAAAAAAAAAACAAAAAAAATAAATTTAGTTATATCTCTGCAACAAAGGAATTTAGAGATATAAAAATAGGCCGCCTATATGTAAAATTTTGTCAGGAACAACTTTACTTAGGCAGCCAAAATAGGTTTATTTAGTAAAATAATGAGAAAAGTGCAATTGTTTTTAGCAAAAACTTGGTACAAGTGATCGTTGGGAAGACTTATTGATTTGCATTATTAGTGTTATTTTATATTGCTATTATAAAGTATTATTATATAGTATATATAAACTCTGTCTTTTTTTCTAAGACAGAAGAATATCAATATATACTCTAAAACTTATTCTCTGAATATTTACATTGTTTTTGGATATATTTAACACTGATTATTTTTTGTAAAAAAACCTCATATTTTGTATTTTTTTAATAATAAGCTATTATTATTTTATATTTTTATAGTATTTTTATAGTATTTTTATTGCATTTTTATTGTAAAATTGTTGATATTTTTGATTTGTACTTGAGTAAACCTAGTTATTTTTAACTTTTTGTTTAGTTATTTCATAGTATTTTTATTTTAGTTTAGGCTTTTCTTTAGTTTTTCTTGTTTAATACATTCCTTAGCCACTCTTATATATTATTGTACTTTGCAAATTACTGTGATCGGCAAATTTTATACATCACATACGTATGGAAATCTGGAATTCTAGAATTCTGATCTGTAATTGGTTAAAATTATTCGTAATTTTTATTTACATAATTAATTAAAGCTATATTATTTATATTTATGATACGTATTTATAATTCTAAAACCTGAATTTCATCCCAAACATACAAACTATAAGTTTTTTTCTTTGCGACACTCATATTTCCTTTAGATTATATATCTTTATTTGCTTCATAGCGTATTATGTATAAATAGTTTTGCTTGTTATTATTTTTATTATTATCATGCTTTTCGAATTATTGTAACTATTATTATGCAATCGGGATCTAAAATCTCAAATATAAAAATAAAAAAAAAATAAAAATAGTAAAAATTTATCTTCTCCTAATTGATCGAATATCATGGTGGATACAAAAAATACAAAGCTCAAATATCTTCGTAGTACCTGTTTTGGGTGCTGGAAATGTTTATATTGTGCAGTAGATTTATGCACTAATATCTGTAGTTGTGAATTAACTGAGATACCAACAAAAAAAAAACAGGACAGATTCAGTTAAACAAGCATATACACGGTCATATGAACCTACATGGGCAGTGCCCAAATTTGAATATATTCATAGAAAGTTTTTCGAATATAATTATGATATAGATTTGAAGATATCTTTTAAGTTTTCTCTGTGTGAATGATGCCACAATATCTTAACCAAATTAAGTCCTACAAAAAAAGACAAAAAAAACACAATCGATACAAAAACTAAAACAAATACTCCCCTATCAGTTGTAGAAGTAATAAGCAAAGGTGAAACTAGTAGTAAAGATGAAGAGCCTGCTTTCAAAATTGGTTACAAATTATTTGTGAAATTATATGATGGAACTTCATTACCTGCAAAATAGTTTGAAGAATCCGTATCAGCAATAGATGAATTCCTTTTGTCTATTCATGATAAAATTATTTTGCTAACACATGATAGTACAATTCTACCAAATGATTACTGTGTTACTTTTAAAGCACACAGAGAATCAGGCTCTAGAACTCAATTGATCGATGAACAAGATTTTGTCAAGTTTAAGGCTGAATACGTTAAATTAACTGTGAAAAAAAATGATATTAGAATTTATATAACAGTTACACCATCTCAAAATAAGCAAAAAAAAAAGGTAACAATAGCAATTAAATTTGCTACAATATGCATATACATGCATATTAATTTTTAAGTTATTTGCAAATAATAGAATTGTAACGCACTCTGCAATAAATTAATTATAAATTTTTTACAGAAATTGAATTTAAGCGAAGATGAAGAAGATACTGAAAGATCAAATAATTACAAAAAAGCCAAAAAAATCAATCGAATTCCAAATGCTGAATCTTTATCTCTACATGAAAAAAGCATTGCCGAAAATGTATTGAAAATTAGAAATGCATATCACTGCAATATACATAACAAGCCTTGTTTAAATAAAGAAAAGGATAAAGACTTGCATATTGAAATTACTTTTTTAATGCTTTCGCTATGGGCAACAGATATAGTACGTATAAAATTAGTATATAAAATAGTATTTCATAGTATTATTTATAATAATATGAATTTATAATATATCTTTTTCTTAGAATAAGGGATTGGCTACAATCGATGATCTCCTAACACATCCTCTTTTTTCTCATAATAATGTATTATCAAAAAGAAAACAATCTTCAAGATTACCATATTCACATTCACAAGAACTTCTAGAGAAATCACCACAAACGCAAAAATTCTTAGTTTTATCATTGCCACTATTATCACAAGTACAACTACCGCAACAATCATCATCACCATTATTACCATCACATGGCAATTGGGTTTATGGATCTCAAATGCTTCAATCATATCAACCTTTATTATCAGCTCTGTATAACCCATATCAAACATTATCACATATTTCTCTACAGCCTCAAGTTATCCGATCTAATTCAAATATTTCTTTAACTATACCTACTATGATAGAGTTCTTAAAAGAAATTGATGAGAATGAAGGAACTGGTCATCATTACCAAGATTTCTTAAGCAAATTTGAAAAACAAAAAGTCTTAGTGAAGCATTTACGAAGATTAACAGATAAAGATTTTGAACTATGCAATATAAAAACTATTAGTGAACGTGAAACTTTACGTGAATATGCTGAAAAATATCAACCAATTATCTAATCAATCTTTCTGATCTTTAAACATAATTATATAACACTATATTTGCATAATAAATAAATGCTTTAAATTTGCGAGTAATAATTTAGAACATTTAGTTTAAATATTTGAAAAAAGTATTATTCATTTATTATCAAAAGCTTGCTAAAAATTAAGTAATTTGTGTTTAAAATAAGTTGGATTTTTAAATAAAATATTGATTATTTTTTTGCTTCTTTTTAAATTCTTATTACTTACAAGAGTTATATAGATTCTTTTATAAGCAAATTAGGGTTTAAAGATGATCAATCTAAATTAAGATGTTATTAGATTGTATATATTCAAAAGTACGCAAGTTATTTATAATAAAAAGTTTAGCATATATAGACTTACTATAATTTGGTACAGTTTTATATATAGTAATTTGTATATGATTTTATACTATGCTAATCTTAGAATAGAATCTGGTATATACTATTACTTTTGCTACGTAAAAAGTTAAAATTATATCAACAATGAATATCGATACCAATACTGTATAATGTATATACATATATATATATACACTAAACTATTATAACCATTGTTGGGAGAGCTTATAAAAATACTATGAATAGAAAGCCAATTTAACTCCAATGGTATATGGGAAGATAAAGATAAACCCGAAGAAACTAAGAGTGTCTTTTATAACTATCAAAAGTCTATTGAGACAATATAACACTATAAAACAAAGGCTTTAATATTAAGAGGAGTGATAAAGGGGTGTTGCAACTACAGGTGATGCTGTTAGGGATATTTCAATAAGGATGATGAGGTAAAAGCAGACGATAATCAAGTGATAACAGGGATAACTTTTAAGTCTACAGGAGTGATTAACAGAGTCGAATAACCAATTGTAAGTCTCATTCTCGACTACAATTCTTACAAGTTACGAATGTGAATGACAATATCTGATTCCATAATCATTTCAGAATCCAAGTCTTAATAAGCCAAATCAAAGTTACCAGTCAATTTAGTCCATCTTTAAATAGGTTTATTAAAGTTACTAGTCAAACTCAAAGACAATGTTCAAGAGAATATTCAGATAAGCATTAATTTTATTCAAGTGAAAGGAGAATGATTTATTTAAGAATAAAATAATATTCTTTATTAATCATAAGATAAAACTAACAAATTCTAATCTCTACTGCTTTAAACGTTAGGTCTTTAAATATATTTTAGATTTTGGAAGTGTTTACACCCTAAAGGCTGTGTTTACATGACTACAGATGCGATTACACTACCACTGGGATGCTTACATCCCCACAGAGATGTTTATACACCCATTCCTTAGTCATTTCCCTGTGATTATGCAAGTGGACCAAAGCAACAGGTTCAAATAGCTGTGTTTGCATCCTTATGATCGTATTTACATGCCTTGAATAACAGTCATATGATTAAGCCACCAAGTCAATCTATCATTAGCATTTAGTATAAGTTATGAATCAAAAGAAATTAATAAATTTGCCAAAATTGGGCATTGTTATCAGAATGGATGGGGTAATACAAATAAACTATGTATATGCAGCAAAGTTAATAACTAAAATATGAATTTAGAATAAAAATAAGAAAACTAAAATTTTAATTCGTTATACTATATCTTATATATAAATATCTCAAATCAAAAATTATTTTTACTATATAGGTATAGACTAAAGTACTTAGAGTACTTTATAATTTAAGCAGTATATATGGGTATTATAGTTAAAGAGGCAACGTAGAGATATATATAAGTGCTGCAGCAATATTTTATATATTCTAAATAGTTAATTTATTTTTAATAACTAGATATTTTACGTTTCTAAGTGCAATTAATTCAGTTTTAGCACTTAGATGCTTTATATTCTAAGCCTCTAAAAATAGAGAGAGGCATTATAAAAGGAGAATCTTTTAGTTTATGCTATATTGTAAGCTCTAATTGCTGTGAAAAAAACTTATACTAATCTCAAGTAAAATCAAGACAAGATACTACTTTACAAAATCTAATAATTTTGAGATATGCAATTATTTGCAAATAATAAGCAATATATAGTATATTATTAGTACTAAGTTAGCAATTTTAATAATTTATTACAAGATTATTTCATTATCAGCACCTTTAAATATCTAATAAATTAGTTAAATAATGATAATTTTTAGACCTTTATTATTACTAAAATTTTGATAATATATTGCTAATATTAGCATTTTATTAGCATAATAATTGACAAATATATTTATAAAATTAAAATATAGTAATAAGGCCATACAAACTTAATAAATCGGTTCTCATTACCCAGTTTTGTAATCAATTTTTATATTGTTTATTTATTATTTTTATGTAGCATTAAAAATTTTAATTTTAGATAATATCATAGTATAAATAAAATAACACATACTCAAACTACAAAAACTATTAAGCATTATTTGTATCCAAAAGCTTCAATAAGTTTTTTTCCTACTTCAGGTGTAATTTGCGCACATGCAGCTAATAGTGGATATTTCGGATCATCTGAATTTTCAACAAAGTAACGATGTCATTGTAGATATCTCTTAATCAAAAAAAATGCTTCTTCTATCGGGTTAAGATCAGGTGAGTATGGAGGAAGGAACTCCATATGTACTCCAAAAGCATTTAAGTATTCATATAATCCATCATCATGATGAATACGAGCATTATCAAGAACTAAAATGCTATTAGAATGTGGATATGGATTCATTTGTGGCAACTACAAGCAAATAAAATATTAGTAAATTATTTAATAAATTATTATATAATCTTTCAAATTATAGTCTAATTCAAGCTATTGTGTAAAATAACACTTATGCATAACAATATGAGTAGAGGTTTTTTCAATTTTTAATAGCAGTCTTATCTTATTTGGGGGTTCGCTAAAGCGGGTGCATCTAAATACCCAACAGCTTACGTAATGTTTCATAACGATCTATACCTGCTCAACCAATCATAATCCATCACCGGTTAGCGTTTACTAATTTTCTACGTACCAAAGATCGTAAACGTAAATATTCTATTT